CAAGAAACAGATGGAGGTCAACCTATCTGGGATCTCTCCTGTTTCTTAGGGGCTACTCCTATTCTCCATTCTGTTTCCCCAATACATTTTCCTGCTCTTAAAAAAATAAGTGGCAATTTTAATAAATACATCCTTCTCATCTTTGATTACTGGAAGTACAAATGAAACAAGTGTTTGAATCATGCTTTTAGTCAGCTCAATCTATTCACTAATAAGAGAATTTGCTGAAGTATAGTCTATTGCAAATGCCAAGACATTGACTCACTATCAGGTCAATACTCACTTAAAAAAAAAAAAAAAAATGCAGTAGGGTCAAAGGATGCTTTTTCAGTAACATATTGTTTGCCCTTGCCAATCTAAACTACTGGAGAAGAGCCAGCACTCTTTCTGTGTATCTGCTTACTTTTGGCTAGTTAACATGTTAATCAGGAAAAAGGCTCTGTTGCCCAACTATTAGATAAGTTATGTGGAAAAGAAAAAAATATTTGTCTATGAATTTATAGGTGAAGTGTTTCCAAGAAATTATAAATGGGACCTCTTTTAGGGCTCTTCTATTATGAGTGACAGGTTTAACATTCTTAGAACCTTCAGAATATAATGACTACATTTTTAAAAGCCTCTAGGGATTATTGTACATTAGCAAACAGACTCAGTAAATTATTTATCTATAAATTAATTTTTCTAAACAGATTTCTACCCCTTTCAATTTGAAAGCTAAACTTCTGAGTCTGCACTTCAGTAACTTTGTATCTGAAGGGCCTACATCTGTACAAACATTTCTAATGAAAACACTAAGACAACCCCCAGAGAAGCAAATAAAATGAGATTTAAGCATATAGTGGCCTTTCTACAGTTACATTCCTAACAATAGCAGATTCTAATTTGATGTCAAACTGAGGTTATATAACAAAATCAGTGAGCAATCTATTTCTTTCGGTTTTATTGAAAAAATGAGGTATTTAAGCAATTCTATTTTCCCATTTACAAAAAAACAAAACAAAAAAAAAAACAAAAACAAAAAAAAAACAAAAACAAAAACAACAAACAAAACAAAACAAACTACTTGCCTGTCCTTAACCAATGGAAGCAAGGCCCACTGGTCAGGAAGACACAACCTTGCTGTAGAACAAGGCAGTAGAAAAGGGTAAAGCTGGGCTCCAAGGCCCAAAAAACAAATTCAAAGATGGATTTAAATTTTCAGGTCATAATTAAAAACTGTTCAAGCAGACTTTACTCAACACTCCCATACAAGTCCACTTTTACCTATTAATAAAATCAGCACCCAAAAATAGGTCTGCCTGCCACCAACAAAAAGCTAGTAAGCCTAATTTAGAGGAATAGCAATCTGTTGTAAAAATTCTTATTCCAGCTTATGTCCATAGTACGAACTACGTGTTTTTAGAAAAGTATGACAAGAATTAAATTTTACAAAATATTAAGGCATTAAAATTTTGTGTTTCAAAGATACTGAAAGCTACCTTTAGAACTCATGATTTAAGAGCAGAAATTAATTTTCACTAATTTTAGATTTTGCTAACAAGCATGCTATAAACACATAATGAAGTTATGTTTGTTGTCACCTTCAGATTGGTTTGACAGGTGATCCTGTGTAGAAGAGATTCCTTGAGAGAATACTGGGTAGGCAGAGTTGGAAGCAAAAATTGATACAAATTTTTTTCAATTATAATAAAACATATGTAACAAAGTTTTCCACTGTGAACATTTTTAAGTGTATAATATTATTAAGTATATTTAGCATTCTATGATCATTTTTACTGTCACCAAATAAGCTGGTAAATTTGCTCAATTCAGATATAAATCACAAACTGGAAAAGCTGCAGTTGCTTGGTTGCTAGAGGACGCAGGCTTTTAATCCCAGGAGCTCTGGCCCGTGAATATCACAGCTGAGCTTTGAGTGCCAGTGCTGCTTAGCAATTCATGTTCTGGCTCTTAGTATTCTAGCTCCTAGCATCTCGCAGCCACTCCTACCAGCTGCTGAGCTGGGACTCATATCCCCTTTGACTACTTTCTAGGGCTGTCCAGCCACTTCCATTCCTTTCAGGAGGCCCTTCCACTGCTCTGTGGAGCTCTTCAGGGCTAACACTCCTTAATGCTACCAGCTCTTTCTTATAGAGCACACTCAGTGCACTCTCCACAAGGTAAGACACAAGTAAGCAACAGACCACCAGAGTAAGGCTTTTATGGGGACCTATGCTGCATCTGAGGCTGGTAGATCTGCACTGAGCAGATGCAGGAACAGTGTCTATACACACACAAAAAAGAGCAGGCTATAAGCACAATCTCCTGAACTTTGTGGACCTATTTCAGAACCTTTGAAGTAGCGAGAAGAGGGAGCAGGGACATCTAGGATAGGTGCATGAGGCCACTACAACGAAGGCCAATGTCTCCTAGAGTAGCTGTGGGGTCTAAGACAGCCTGAACTGGGGAGAAATGACTGGTTGGTGATAGCTCTTTTACCCTTCCCACGAAAGTGCAAGGCAGAAGTTATGACTGTTGTTCCTGCTTTCAAGGGGATTCCAGGAAGGGCAGCCGGTGTTGCCCATCATGGCCCATTGGGGTTTGGGATTTGGGGATAATGGCACTGGGCTCTGATTCTGGTGCAGGAAGGGGTGTTGCAGCCATCTGGGGTTGTGGCCCCTGTCAGGACTGTAGGAGTCAGCAGCAACTTGGAGGCTTTGGGAGGGGTTGCTTCTGACAGGAAGACACTGTAGTCAATCAACTCAGGTCAGCAAAGGAGCAATCAGGGGCAGAAGTGTGATGGCTACCTGTGAAATTAGCCCTTGTTGTCAGTGGGAGAAGGGAAAAGGTGGGATTCTCTCATATCGACAATCCAGGACATTCTGATCATCCCAAATAGAAACTGTACCCATTCAAAAGCAACTACCTCCTTGCTCCTTATTAACCTGTTCTATTTACTATCTCTTTCTAAAAAGTAAAAACAGAACTACTCAATAGGCTATGGCTAGTCATGCCACACATTTATAAACCCATCAGTGAGATCAGGGAAGCCTATTTTCCTAGTATCCCAGTAAGCATAATATATTATGTCTATTTTGTTAGGCAGACCCTGAGCAGTAGTATTTACTTCCTGATATATTTAGCAAATATAGTCAGCCTCTGTACCTGTGGGCTTTGCATCTGTGGATTCTGCCTCTGTGGATTCAACCAACTGAATCAAAATATTAAAAAAAACAGTGAATCACTCTATACTGAACATGTATGCAATTTTTGATCATTATTCTCTACATGATGCAGAATGAAAACTACTTACAACATTTACATTGTATTAGATATTCTATGGAATCTAGAAATTTAGATTATACGTGAAAATCTAAATCACACCATCAAATGCAAATACTATACCATTATAAAGGGACTTGGGCATCCATAACTTTGTATCCACAGGAGTCCTGGAATTAATCACTCATGGCCACTGAGGGACAGCTGCACATCTGAGAGGGACAATTGTGTCTGAGTGCCTACATGCAGCAGATACTATCTTAGTTCTGGTACAACACCGAACAAAGATAGACCGGGGCTCTGTCCTCACAGGACTTAGGTTCTGGTTGACTGTTTTCCAGTACCCCCAAATTCTACAAAATATGCAAAAAATATGCAATTTTAGGAAGATAACAATGGCATGAATGTTTTTTAGTATTTAAAAATTTCCATATCAAATGAAATGTTTAAAACCGTTGAATCCATAGAGGCAAAAAATAACTCAGTGTACATGAATAATAGAGAAAACGGGGAGTGGCTGTTACTGAGTACCAGGTTTCATTATGGAGTGCTGAAAATGTTTTAAATAGTGGTCATGGATGCACAGCCTTGTGAATATACAAAAAAAAAAAAAAAAGAAAAAAAAGAAAAAAAAAAAAAGAAAAAAAGAAACTATGCTTTAAAACAAATTCTTTGAAGGGCATATAAATTATATCAATTAAAAAATTCACATTAGGTGAGAAATAAAACTAGACACAACGATAATGAGTCCATGTTTTGAACTTTTATGTTCCCACATCTGCCTGAACAACAGTAACTCAAAACTGGATAGAAATTACTGGGATATTACTGAGAAAAACCTTAAATTTACACAGACATGGTATCAGAGATACTTGGTAGAAATGACACACTTTTTTTTAAAAAAAGAGTATGTAGTATTAAAACAGAAAAATTACAAATAATACAGGATTTCACTCAACAAAATAATGATTTCACAGTATTTGTTTTGCATAGTGTTGCCTTTAAATTAGTTGTTCATATTACCAGATATATGCATGCAAAATTGGAAAAAGAAAACCAGAAAAGAATATATAACAAAGAAGAGAGAAAAAGGAAAAAGAATTGAAAAAAAGCCAAAAGAAATTAAGGATTAACTGCTCCTTTCCATAGACAGAAATCCACAGCAGTTGCCCAAACGTTTCATCCTGCTTATATACATAGTTGTATCTCTTTTTCTCACTCCCTCTCTTATCCTTTCCAACTCACTAATTCCATCCTTTTGAACAGGCTCATTTCCTTTTCCTAGTATCTATCCTTCATATTTCATTTTCTCTTTCAGGTTGTCACACTAAGGAGACAATATGGTGTCTGTACAGGTGGATCTGATTTATTTCACTATGACACACTGCTTCTATGGAATACAAGTGAATCTTAGAAGTGAAAACTATAACTTTTTCCATGGAACAGAATCAAAGAAATTTTAGGGGTAAATTATATTTCATCTAAAAATATATGATGAAGGTTTCACCTTATATGCGGTAATTAGGAAACTTCTCTTTCTACCTACTCAGTTAGTTACTGTGCTCATACTCATTAATGCCCAGGTATTGATAATTTAGTAAAGCAATCACTTTACATATTAAAAGTGCCATGAACAGATGGAATGGTGCTATAGGACGACAAAAGACTTAAAACTTGAGGAAAACAAAAAAATACAGTGACTTGAAACAAAAACAACAGTGTACTTAAGAACTCACAGATGCATATACAGTTATTTTATTTGTTAAACTGCAAAAGCCAAAAAGACTGCTTTACAGAAGGCAAAGTAAACCACATACACATTATGGAAAAGTCTTATTTCTTTAAATCTAAGGCCCCCTCTAGTGTTTGAAAAGTTATAGGCATTATGCAATACAAATGAATGGTCATCACACTAGAGACCTTCCAAGTCAGAAAGAATACTATTGTTCCATTCATGTGGCACAAAAATCAATGAGAGAAAACAACCATAATTAATATTTCAAATTCCTGCTATGATTAATTGATTCATTACTCTCTCCTTCAGTAACTACTTTTCTGTTAATTACTAGTTTATTTTTTGGTTTGAAGATTAATACTTTGTTAATAAAGGGAAAAGTATATAATGTAATTAGGGGCTTAATTTCCCAATCAAGAAATATACTTTGTTGAAAGTAACAGAATATTAATGTTAGTGAGTAACCTGTTCTGTTTTTATGGAAGTTACTGATACTTAGAATATACTTCCTAAAGTATATACTTACATTTGGAAGTCATATTTTTAAACTGTATATACTTTAAAACCCAATCTAATTTGTAAATTTGCTAATAATCTTTTTAGGTACTGTATAAAGGGTGTGTATGTATGGAAAGTGTTGTTCTGAGGACAATGTTGGCTCTGAGAACTAGGATGCAAAGGAACTCTTTAAAGCTACAGACAGGACACTACATAAACCCAAGGACCTAATCTCATGTACTTCTGAAAAGGCTGATCAAAATTGGAGTAAAAAATAACTGTTTCATTCCTTTCTTTCTAGCTAAATCCCTTGTGTCTGTTTTCATACTGTATTACAGAGGGTTTAGCAGGTAGTTTTTTCATTGTAAAAACAAAGCAAAAAAAAAAAAAAGGAAAATCTCTAATTTTAACAAAAGGTGACAATTCAGGAGGAACTAAGCAGGAAACTGATGAAAAGAATCATATTAAGCAAATAATTCATGGTTTTAGAAGTCAAGAATATACTGAAAATTTTTAAATCCGACAGTTCTTAAAACAAATTTAGTATGTACTAGCTTTAGGCAAATGATTAATTTTTGTCACCCAATATGTCATATGATTTCTCTGTATTGATACTATTTGTTTCAAACATCACTTGTAATCAATTACAAAAGGGAAAAAGTCATTTAATATGAGTTAAAACTGCTACATTTTTAATTGGTTTAACTTTTAAGATATTTATATCAAAAGGAATAAGACACAACATTATTAAAGTGCAACATATACTCTTTGGGCTCCACATGAAAATTATATAACTGGGAATTACTGCAGTCATTTGTCCTAGTACAAACTTATTGAAAAACTGTTATAAAAGTCAGCTATCAGATTAAAAACTGAGAAATACTGAAATCTGAAAATCAGCATATACAATGAAATTAGGAATAAAACCAGCATGAGAGGTAGCATAAAGTAAATAAAATCAAATAAATACTATACAATGACATACAAAATTCTGCTTATAAAAAATTGAAAATAGACTTAAAAATACCCATTTTCTCCATTTTTGAGATTTACAATAAAATTAAAATTTAAACTTGAAGTCTGTAAAGATTTTCCAAACATTTAAGTACTGGCATTGTTTTTGGCCAAAACCTCTCTGATCTGTCGGTCGAGTTCACTTATGATTCGATCCTCATGATTATACACACCCGTTCTCATCAAAGTATCCCTTTCCTCTATCAGGCGGGTCAAATAATCATCCAAGCCTTCTTCCACTGCTGGGCCACGTGGGCCATCCATTTTCCCACTGGTGATTTCCTTGGAATCCTGGTACTGTTTTGGGTCCTGTTGCCTTAACCTGGTAGTAAAGAACAAATGCCACTCTATTAGACAACAAATACTGTTCTGTTTTTTCTAATAGTACTATTTTAAAACAAAATGATTTAATATTAGAGTAAGTTTTAGTAGGGCCGGCCAAAAAGCTCAGCAGATTGGGATTCAATCCCCATGCCTGCCATGCCAGCCCCGCCCCCAGGGCACACTGAGACAGCAATTAAGACTGGATGTAGTGGCACATACCTGTAATTCTAGCTCTTGGGAGGCTATATATAGGCAGGTCACTATGAGTATGATCTAGTAGTGAGACCCTGAGCACACTGTAGACCCTTCACTAAATACAAAAATTAAAAACAAATAAAAGAGAAAGTTTTACTAATATTTTAAGAATACAAAAAGTAATGGCTTATCTAGTCAAGAGTCAAAATATTTTAAAAAGCAATTTAAAAACAGTGATTCTTCTAATAATGAAATACACCAAAACTATAGAAATCGTAGGGCTGTGTACAAAAAATAAAAATCACCTGCAACTTCATTATCCAGGGATAGCCAACATGAGTGTCATTTTTCTTTTTAATTAGAAATGTATATATAACTTTAAATGTATATTTTTCTAAAAAACTAATATATATCAATACATATCCATACTTTTTCTACTTATTTCTATTCTCTTACATATTATAATTTTTATAAATGGCTTCATGTTGTATTTAATCATCTTTTTTTACCTCCTTTAAGTTGTAATTAAAGTTTTGCTGCTTGAGCACAAAATTTTCTTTAAATTCATTCAACAATTATTTATGCCAGTGTATGGAGACACTACAGTGAATTAAAGGGCAGCCCCACTGTTGTGGCTCTTAGGCATACACCAGTCACTTGTAGAGAGTAAAGCTGGGCATCAATGCACAGTTCCACGGGCAGATGCATGTTACAGTCAGGACACATCTCCTGTTACTGTTGACTTCCTTTACCAACAGACTTTAAAAAATCAGGTGCTGGGACAGCGAAGCTGCTCAGTGGACTACAGGGCCTGCTTAGACAAGCTTAGGCAAGCACAGGACTCAGGTTCAATCCCCAGCACTACACAGCATGTCAGCCCCGCCCCCAGAGCAGGCTGAGCAAGCTAGAGTCCTCATGTGGTGGTGCACGCCTATAATTGCAGTGCTGGAGAAGCTGAAAGCAAGAGGATCACCACGAGTCCGGGCTGCGTAGTGAGACCCTGTACCAACCAAACACATTAAAAAAAAATCAGGAGCTGCTCTGGCATTTGGGTAGTTCCAACAGATGACTTATAACCACCTGCTAAGTATGCTGACTTTGAAATGTGAAATGTATTTAGAAATACAATATTAACTTTATATTCATCTAATAACTGGCTATAGAATGCTTTAATTTGCAACCATTCCTAAATTCTGTCTTGACAGGATAAAGCAACAGTCTAAACCTCTGCTCTGTGACAACTGTCAAGAGTGAGCCAGTGAGAAGCAAGTCCACTTCTGAATTTGCACAGGGGTCTGGGAGGCAGGGAGAGGCGGTGGGGTGAGAGTCCTTCTCCACAGCCTAGGAGGACTAGGCTCAGTGAAGACAGGCATCTGGGCAATGACCTGGAGTTTCTCATTAAAAAAAAAAAAAAAAAAAGGCAACTCATCCATGCAGTCCAAATAGGAACCCAATCTCTGTTGTCAGGAAAAAAAAAGCCTACATTAGTGAGGGACACTATTTTGAGATACAGGAGGTAGGTCCCAAATTTTCCCACTGAATTTGAGAAGGCCTGAAGATGTATTAAGGGTAGATTTTTCTTTTTTGTGGTGATACTGGTGGCCAAAGGAGAGGCCTGACACATGTTTAGACAAGTGTTCTATTACTGAGCCACAGCCCCCAGTCCAAATGTAGACTTGAAGAGCTGTTTCCTCTCCCTTAACTCTTATAAAGTCACCTAGGAAGAGGGGCCTTATAAACATAACAAACAGTGCCTTAATAATTAACCACTTCTTTTTCTGTATCATCTGTTCATTCATGAAGAGCAAAAGCAATTTTCACAAAGAATATCCCCACCAAATATTTAATAAAACACAAAACATTAGTCACGAACACAATAGCATTTTGGAACCAAGAGCTGAAAGTAAACACTGATAATATTCCTGAAAAACGCTATGTCTGGACTCATACACTTTCTGCCAGTAGGAAACCTTTGTGTGTTAGAAAGCTTCTCTCATATTAAACTTATCATCTCTCTTTATAATTATTTTCCTGCCCAAGGAGGGAAGACTTTTTTTTTTTTTTTTAAAGTATGGTAGCCCTCCAGATATTTGCTGACAATTGTCTACCCTTTCCCCTAAGAGTTCTCTTCTCCAAGTTCAATATCCCTCACTCTGCCAACCAACTGGATGACATGATGTATAGCCTCTTACTGTCCTGGCAACATTGTACTGGAAGACCTCTAGAGGGAGCTGATTTCATTGAAAGATTAGTTACATATGGGTAAGAATACTTCACAGATGATCTTTGCAGAACAGAATATTGAATACCACTTTTACTATAACTGCACTTCATATAAACTTTATTATGTCTTGCCTATCACTTGATTTTTCTTATATAGAAGATAGATTTTTTGTCCATATATTTATAGTTAAGTTTCAGTTCTCTGAAACCTAATGTAAGATACTGAGATATCCAAATTTATCTCTACGTATATGCCACTAAAACACAGCACTCTTTGGTTTTGATGCTATATATGACAGTAAAAATAAGAAAGGCAAAAATCATGTATAGTTTATTAATGTATAACACCATCCAAATCTACAACAGAATAAATATTTTTTGGAAAATTATACCATGAACCACTACATTCTTTTTTTTCTCATGAATGTCTTTATTTCAAATCTGGTTAGCTCTTCTGCTTTATACATACCATTAATATTTTAAAATTTATTTTTGTGTGTATATTTATAATTATTGCTAATTAAATGGAATATCAATTAAAAGATATTTCAAATTTAGTTATGTTAACACCTAAGACAACAGCTCACATTTATTACATTTTACTATATCAGTTAAGTGCTTTATATGCCTGTCTCAAGTTTTTTAGTCTTTAAAGCAATCCTTTGAGGAAGATAGCCTCATTGGAGATGAGAGATTAAAGAAAAAGACTTAAGTACCATTCTTCAAGCTAGAATTTAATCTGACCCTAGATTGTATTTTTAGCCACTATGTTACACTGGGCTTCTCTAGAGTGTCAGTTTCATCTTAAACACAATTCAACAGTATTTCATGTTAGAAATCATGAAGCAGCATGCACACACACACACACACACACACACACACACACACTACAGTAGTCCTACTTATCCACAGTTTCATTTCCTGCAGTTTCAGCTATTCATGGTCAATTGCAGTACAAAAATATTAAATAAAAACTGCAGAAATAAGTGACCCATAAGTTTTGAACTGCAAGTGATTAGTGTAGCATGAAGTCCTTTAGTCCATCTCATCTGGGACATGAATTAGCAGTTTGTCCAGCTGTACTGGATCCCTACCTTTAGTCCCTTGGTCTCCCTCAGAAGTTAGACCAATGGTTGTGGTATTTCAGTACTCATATTCAAGTAACCCTTTACATAGACAGCTAATTCTTACAAAATCCACTTCATCTTTTCACCTAGGCACTCTGTTATCTCACATCATCACAGGAAGGTTATGAGCACAGGGTGTAAGACATTGTGCAAGAGAAACAACATTCACATAACTTCTATTAAATGTACTATTATAACTGCTTTAGTTTTATTATCAGCTACTGTTAATCTCTTACTATGTCTAACTGATACATTAAACCTTGCCATAGGTACAATTACGTGGGGAGCACACATGCTGCTGTTTCAGGTATCTTTATTTTTTCTTATTTTTTTACTTTTTGTATTTAGGACAGGGTCTACAGGTGTTGAGTAGGTCTCACTATTAGACTGAACTCACAGTGACCTGCCTGTTTACAGCCTTCCAAGAGCTGGGACTATAGGCGTGTACCATCATGCCCAGTCTCAATTGCCATCTCAGCATACTCTGGGGGTGGGGGAGCAAGACTGGCACGGCAGGCCCAGGGATCCAACTCCTGGCTCCTGCGCTTGATTGCAGGCACTTTAATCCATTGAGCTATTTGGCCAGCCCTAAGATAGAATTTCTGATTATAAATTTTATAGATCATACCAACTCAATCTTTCTAATGTCTTAAACACTTTAACCCTTGACAGATCTAAAGTTGTACCTTCCCTGGACCAAATGAACCAATTAAAAGGCTGTGCTATTAGTTTCTGTAGGAAAAAAAAAATGATATTTTAATTATTTTACCTGTTTAACTCATTTCTTATATCCAACAATTCCTGTTGCTCACTTTTTACTGTATCTTTTTCCTCAGCAGCAAGGTAACGCAGCCTCATCTGTTCCAATTCCTCTTGCTGCTTTTTAAGACGAGCCATTTGACTTTCTTGTTCTCTCTTGAAAGAAAGAAGCCAGACACCTCATATCAGGAGTATATATATTTTATATAACTTTGACTTATGATTATAATCCTATTTGACAATATACATGATACAGCCACGCACTGCCAACTCTATAAATCACATCTACTCTAGAAAAGTCCAAGTTTTCCCTGAATACTTTCTCTTTGCTGTCATAATCATTTGTGGCCATATTAACAACTGAGCTCATCTGAACACCATAGGATAACAAACCTGAAGGCAAGAAAATGACTCCTGTCAACGTAATGAACTGACATAGGAACAAGTGGTAAGAGTAACAAATAAGAAATGGTTTATTTTACAAAGCTGTACCTACAAAATTTAGTAGCTGTCCCTAATTACTAATTGGGATCCACCACAGTTAATATATCTTCCATTTTATTCTCCAGACTCATCCAAAAATCTATATGCATGTGCCTTTTATTTTGCTCTTTACATTTTGGATATCTCATATGAGAGAAATCCTATGATATTCAAGTTTCTGAATCTGGTTTATTTCACTACAAAGTATGATCTTCAGGTGCATGCATTTTCCTACAAATGACTCATATTTATCCTCTTTTATGGCAGAGTACTCCTCCATTGTGCACAATACCACCATTTCTTTATCTAGCCTCTGTTCATGAATATATGGACTGCTTCCAAGATTCAGCTAGTATAAGCTACGCTGCTATAAACATGGGTATGCGTGCATCAGTATAATATGGTATCTTTAACTCTGGGGAAAGATATCTAGGCAGGGAATACCTGGGTTGAATGGTCAGAAATTCCCCTTTTAGATACAAACACTTGAGATATTCATACATATACAAAAAATCTTTTGTGCTGTTTTATTACATGAAAATCTGGGAAAAAAAGTCCTACTGTATAAACTATGGCATATTCATACAAGATGATCAATCAATAATGTATGATGTTGCTTAAACATATATTTTAATGTCTTATAAATGCAGATTAGTAAGAATCTTGTCTTTGAAATGTATTTCACTTACAAAATAATTATTCAAAAAGAAAGGAAAATATATGGACAAAAATGTATCAAATTATTATTGCAGGCTGAGAAAAAGATAAAAGTATAGGTAATTTTTATTTTCTACGTTGTATGGCACTACAAGCTCTGCATTTTTTTTCCAAGATAAGGGAGTAAAAATATGATTGCCAGCAGGAAAAAGAAACTACTCTAGGTTGCTTTATGAAACTTTAGTTTCATCAAGCTTCTTTCTTTGAAGAGAGAACAAGAAAATCAACCTGAAACACTTTTCTTCTACAACATACCAAAAAAACCTTTAAATATCTTAATGCTGTAATGAAGCATGCGGCATTACCAATAATCACACACACATAAATTAGAGGTCCGCAAAAGAAACCCTGTCCATGCCAGGTGCTCTGGGTTAAAGGCTCCTCAATCAAGTGAGTATAATCTTTATTTTGCCTTGGCTGCCTATAAATCCAGAGAGGAGATGTAAACATACATACACTAGACTAAACAGAGGCTAAAAAGTGGCCACTACTTACTCCCCCACACACATATACCATGTAAGGCTGTGGGAAAAAACTTACAGCTAAACTAAGGAACTCAAGTAAAGTTTTCTGAAAATAACCCAGAGCTGACAGGCCAGTAGGAGGGCCTGGATGGTTTCAAGACACAGTTTTTAACCAAGACTTGGACCTCCAACTGTTTTCTTAAACAAAGATTTACATCCTATCCCTGGCTAAATTACTTATAAATTAATCAAATTAATTACTCTGAGTGGATGAGCAGGAGGCTGGACAAGATAGTGCTGATGTCAGCTGATGAAGTCTGTGTTGTTTTTACTAAATTTATCAGCTTAGTTTTAAACAGATCTACTGTGCACAAATATGGTAAAGGACCCACATCCTACCCATAATCTTACTTCTGTTTTCTGTCTTTGGAACAAACATATACCTAGCTTTATATGTGACATAAAAATGTTAAATTTTCTACAACAAATTCACACTTTAGAACAATGGTTCAGTCACTTAAAATGGTGTCTTTCATCTGCTTACATAAATATGTTCTAAATGTTTTTAAGTAAATATGTAAGCATGTTATTATTTTACCCATAAAGACTAAAGCAGACAATTTTAACTTAGGTATTTGTAGACTAACTGAAGTATTTATTTTGGCTTTAAAATATTTCTATAGTACCTTTTCACAAAGAGGAGGAAAAAGGAAACTAAATCACTCCCTAAATGTTTAAGAAGTAGAATTTTTAACTATGTCCCAAGATATTAAACTTAGAATCCAAGGGTATCATTTCCCTGTTTTCTAAATCAAGACTCCTTTTATGTTACACTTAGTTATATTTTACAGCTGCTGCCATCCAACTTACAAAAGATTTATAAAGCTTACAACTTTTATGGTTGTGAATCAGAAGGAAAGTTTTTTTCCCTAAATAATTAGAAGGTTATGATATTTTAATTCACAAATTGACTATGCTAGGTCACTTTTGAGTAATGGAAATCTGTCTAAACATTGTTTTGGCAATGGGCATCAACATCAGATCTTATTTCCAAGCTTTACCAGCTGGTCTTCGTCATCAACATTTATTAACAATCTAAGATACGGCTTTCACCATTTAATCCGTACTACACGCATGTCTTGGATGGCCCTCCAGAGGGTTCTGATGTGACAAATTATTGGCAGAGATTACAGCCCCATGGCTATTCACCAGAGGCAATATAAAATTAACATGGTCCTAATCCAATTTAAACAAGAAGTTGCACAAACAATCCTCTGAACAAAACCAGATAGACAATTCCAATTTCATATTCAAACACAATGTGTTTTTACTAAAAAGTTTTAGGGAAAGTTTTTTAAAGTAACTATCACACATAAGGAATGTGCCGTTTTGATCTAGTTTTAATTTTAATCTTTCAAAAAATAGTGGCAAAGCAAAATTCACTTTGGCAATCCCAAAATCTATTACTTCTTAATTTGCTGCAGCTCGATGTAGTCTGGAGAACATCAATGATTCTGAAAGACTTCAAAATTTATTTACAGTGTCTCTAAAGCAGAAAGTTTGTGGGATAAGCAAAGAAACTGGCCCACAATGAGAGCAAGAACAACAGTTTCCTCAAAGCTATGAATTTAAGTCATCCTATTCAAACTAAACAGCTTCAGTGGTGAAAAAATTAAAAAGAATGTAATCTACAATATACATATATGAACATGACACCCCATTTGAAGCAAAATGTTAATTATAACGAAACTGTTTCAATAATCATTAATGATTAATCATTTATCCTCCCCAAATACTTTACGCAACAGATAACACTGTAACATCTTTTCAAATAATTTTGCTAATCACCACTGTACCAGTTTCTTACCCTCTACTCAGCTGTAATAGCAAACATTATCTTTCATACTTTCTCCATCTACTTTCTATTTTAAAGCCTGAAAGGATTCCAAATCTCATATTTTTACTTACATTTACCTTTGAGACATTCTCTTTTAGCTTTGAGTGGTAAATGGACTTTAAGCTTATGAGACAACTGATATGTCCATTATCTACCACTGTGCAAGGGCCACAGTAGGCGCTCCATAAGCACATGCTAAATAAACGAACACAAATGAACTACCTACTGATGTTCTTTAGACTCAATGCATCCCTTCATAACCAGACCTTAGAAGTTCACCTACTGACACTTGCATATTTACATATTTAGTCCTTGTTTTATTCTTCTGTATCATTTTTGTAAATATTTATTAAAACTACCATCCAATACAAGCTACTTTTACTAAACTATATAGCCTATCCCACTTCCTTATCATAATCACTATAAAATATCTTCATTCTTCATACACAAAAAAGTCCTACTGTTGAAATTATTTCATTGAACAGCTACTCAGTGACAGAATCTCTAATATTTGTTCCATCCATCAATACACATGGCTATCATCTAACAAGGTCCTAATAGACTAAAAGCAAAGATAAGATTATTATGTATACTACATAATAGTCTTATCTTCTTTTAATAGCAGCCATATTACCAAATATTGCATTAAACACTTTATATACAACTTACCTAACTTCAGAACAACTTGTGAAGAAAAAATTCCCATCATACAAATAAGAAGACTAATCAGAGAAATTCAACTCCCAAAGTCACAGTGATACGAAGAGGTAGGGTCAAGATTCAACCCAGCTCTCTTGATTCTTGATACGTTTTTAACTACTACTTCTGCTGCTTCTGATAAAGTTTATATCCTATTACTTTAAGAATGTATTCTTTTCATATTATTTTCTTACTTCCAATTCCATAAGGACTCTTCCTGCTATGCTAAATGTAACCTAAATATCTTGGGGTCAGGACTTTGTTATTAGGTGCTTTTTCCCTTGAAGTCATTTCTATTCTCATTAGTCGAGCTGGCTTGCCAGTCAATGCAAACAACTCATGAGTACTTCTGCTGAACACTCCTGTCAGAAACTTTTGTCTTCTATCCCTCAAATTCTTCCACTCAAAATTCTTTCATTCCATGACTTCTATGCACTAAAATCATATTATTATGAAAGGGAAAGAGCCTGCATCTCTGTCAAATGACTTCAGTTCTAGCCAATCTCTTAGTACCTGTATGATGCAATTTAATTTCAAGTCAGCTTCTTCACTTATACAATAGGAGTATTAGTAAAAACATCTGAAGGGCTCATTTAGCACAGGGCATCAAGTCCTCAAAAAATACTAACTGTTCTTTTTTTTTTTTTTTTTTAATACTAACTGTTCTATTAGCATTGTTATAACGATTGTTCTCTATTATTTTCTTCACTAGTTTTCCTTCCTCCTCAAACGTCAGGTTCTATCTAGCACAGGTTCAAGTACTGTATCATCTCTGCAAAAGATTGTCTCTTTCCTTCAGACCAATCATACTTCTAACAAAAGATGCATATTTCTTACTGCTTGTGCAATTTTTTCTGTAAAAATCAAGATATTCACAACTACAAGTCTATCTCCTTCTCACACTCCAATGACTTCTCAGTAACTGTATTTCCCACAAGGGAACTCTCTTCTCAGACTATGGCTTGAGTCTTTGGCATCCTCTGTGACAAGAATCTTCTACTTGCATTCTTTTGTTTCCACTCAGTTCCACTCCTTACAACCTGAAATGTAAAATTGTCCCTGTTCGGCTTTCAAAAACAGGCTATAATTTCCCACTTTATGCCTGATGATCACTGTATACATATATTTCCCCCATTACTTCCCCAAGTCACAACAGGTCACTACACAAATCCTAAATCCTATCAACTCTTCTCCAGAGGTCCACCTCAAATACCTTGTCATATGCGACACCTTTCTTAAGTCTATTAAGTAGATGCATTTTCTCTTTTTGACTGTGTATAAGTACATTCTATATTTATACCTCTTTCTTTTCTCCTTCTCTCTTTTCTTTTGTACAGGGTTTCGCTATGCAGCTCAGACTGGAGATCAAACCTGTGTCCTTGTACTTGCCGGGCAGGTGCTCAGACTGCCAAGCTATCTCCCCAGCCCAGCTGTTTTTTCTAATTCTAAATCCAAGCTCTCAAAGAAGGCCTTCGCCTCACTTACATCTATACACCCAACCTAATTAATAGTATCTGATGGCTATAGATACTTTAGGAAAAATACAAACTTAAAGGACACTATCTAACAAATTTCATTCAGAATAAAATAACATATTAAAGAAAAGCAAGTTTAGAATAAACTATTTTTGATTCTTAAAAGTTTTAGGTCAAATAAACTCATTCAAAATAAAAATTCTTTTCACATTTTCTTTGATTTTAGTCATTTGAAGAAATTATGTCAAAAATATCTATCAGTATTTGCTGTTTAATAGCAGGCAGGAAAAAGGTAAGACAAGTTTAGGAAACTATAGATTTTAAACTCTTAAAAATTCCCTTATAGTGCCTTTTTCTAAAAGAATTAACACTATTCCTAGGAATAATAAATAAAATGTTCTTAAATTTAAGGAAATTTGAGTTTTTAATTATGAAAACAAAGCATCTTGCATATAGCACATTTTTAAAAAAAAGCACTGAAGATTCAAATGCAGACATCTGAACAGTAAAGATGCTGCCAAACATTCAAACTTATAAAGAATCAAGGGAAAAAGATATAAAAAGAATAATGCATAAATTACGTACCTGTTTAAGTCTGGCAAGCTCCTTCAAAGCTCGTCCCCACTGCTGCTTGTAATGCAGTTTAGACTTAGTTGCAGATTCCAACTTTCTTTCAAGTTCAACCTAACAGTGATTAAGATGATATCAAGTGAAACACTATAGCACTGTGTACAATCATTGAAAGATAATATATACAAAGAGTCTGGCTTAAGAAAAGAGTTTATACAGTGTAACATACGACATCATCTAAAACTGTTATATAACTTACTATAAATATTATGGCACATGAACATTTTCTTGTTTAAAATATAGTCTTATTTTTATTGCCTTACAGCCTATACTAAAAAGAACTGAATTAGTCTGAACCTCCAGACAGTTACTGTAAATGTATTTAAACACTGAGTGAAAAATACATTTTTTACAAAAAGCAGTTCTAGCTGTTAACATTCCAATTCAGCTGATACTTTAAATCACAGAAACCAAACTTTCCTTTTGGAGGCCTATCATTATGTGGAATTTTGTCTTACAAGGAAGAGAGTTAGAAGAGACACTTCTGTAACTATATTTTGTCAAAACCATAGAACCCTGGAAACACTGAAATGTTTTATCAGAAAGTAATTTACTAAGAGAGTACAAAGTCAGAAATATTTTAAGAATGTTAAAATAAACCCAAGAGTAAGAAAAATAATGTTCCTTAATAAAACACATCTAACTTTTCCCCTATTTTTCCTCAAATGTATAAAGAAAAACACTAAAGTGATTCAATTAAAAAAATATGGTTATTTATACTTGCAGCAGGCAATCTGTTGTGCATGAACCGAGGCCAACTTGGCTAGGCTTTGGAATGTACTCAGGGTTTTAAACCAAGTACCAAACAAATTCATGCAGCCAACAGACAGTTTTATTATTAAGTGATAATGTAATAATCTTCTTGAATTACAATAAAACATCGTTACTCTGAATTGGCTGAATTTTTTTATATCAAGTCTAGTTTTTCCCATACACACAATTCCTAAAATTCTGCAGGAAAACAAACTGAAGACACTATAAAAATTTTAGCTTTAGAAAACCCATGAAAATGAAATGAAAGGAAAAGCAGACTGCCAAATTCCCTTCACAAAAGACCAGAAAAATCTCTTAGTAATATATGACTACATCAAGTCAAGATCCTTTCTGCTTTATGAATCCCTAGTGCTTGGATTTAGCTGTGTTGACATTTCACAACTAGACTTAAGCATCTTAAGTTGAATAATACTGCTGAGATTATTGGAGATAATCTCTTCCACTTATATCCCTGAGATTTATATATATTTCTTGGTAATTCAACAACAGGCCATACCTCAGAATAGAAAAAAAAAATTGTAGCTGTGGGATAAAGCAGAAGTATTCAATTATAAAAAGAGAACTTGTCCATAGGTCTTAAGAGAAGGCCTAGTATCCAAGAAGAAGGCCTAAAAGGCAGCTCTATCAGTAAAAAACTGGGTAAGCTCTATCAGTTTTGCCATACACTTGTGCACATTTGCATAGTTATTCACACGAATTTAATCTACAGGTACACTTCTACATGTAATTTTATTCTTAACAAATCTGTAGTCAGCAAATTTGAGACAAAAATCTCATTTTTCTAATTTATTCCTGTCAAAACCTCAGTGATCCTAACTTTTATTGTTTCTTAAAGAATAAAAATGTCTCTGTGATTCTAAAGAAATACATAGGGCCACTTCCTAGAAAAATGCACCAAATTAAAATTCTCACACAATTTCAAGAAATTCAAAGACCATGAGTTAAAAGCCCTTATTTTAAACAGATCTGAGACTTCTTGTAATCTTTGCATTTTGTGTTTTTATTTAAGATGTCCTTAGTCTGTGACTTACTAAAGTAAGACAATTTCAATACTCCTGAAAAGAAAACTTAGTTCAGGACCTAAAATTAAGAACACTGAAAGCATAGATTAGCACTTACTGGTATCTTTGTCTCATACTTCCTACCTCACACAAAGTCAGTCACATGGAACTACAGAAGTTTTCCTTGAAATAAAATTGTCAAATTTAAATTTCTATGTCACTTCCTTAACTCACCTCTTGGGCTCATAAGCAGCTCTTAAGGGGAAACAGATTTCTTTTCTCTCCAGCTTCAGATCTATCTACAAGTCTTACAAACCACTACTAGATCAATTTACTCTCTACTAAACAATCTATAGCTACAAAGTTAAGCCTCCACTCTTCTGCTGAGGAGTCAAGGCACTTGCCAAAATGTAATTTCCATGCTACCTATTCAACCTGCATTTTTAAGTCTTCCTCGACAGGAAACCCACTGTTCCAACTAGGTTTGTGTCCCTAATCCTCCTTACTTCAGTTACTTCCTGAGCCTGCTAATTCTTTTTCTCTTCTGTTTGCTTAAATCTTAAGGTTCAGCTGATCAAATTTACCTGGACATGAGGTAGGTGCCTTAAACTACTAGATCCTGAATACTAAAACAGTTTCTTTTCATTGTAAAGATTTCCATCACACTTCTTTGTATCTAATAATTCAGTCATTTGCTATCTGAATTATCTTCCTAAATACATAACAAATTACAGTATTTAAAAGAAATCCCCAAAGGCTACTATTGTTCTCTTTCCTCCTATCTTGGCCTCACAGTAAATACAAACTGTTCTTAAAACACTACACCTAAATTTTAGCTTGATTAAAAAAATTCAAGATTTTTTCAACGTGTTTTGTCTTTTCAACCGCCATATGCCCCACTATATTATATGCTTTTTTTTAAAGTCTCAATTTTCAAGCTATATAAGAACATTTCTGGATATAGAAGAATCACAAATTATTTACTACTAGCTACTTATATAATAAAAGGAATTGAGAACTACACTTCATAAATTGTATTTTCATGTTAACTTTTTAGACCTTTTCACTGAAAATGGGAATATTTTTGTTATATTGAAAATAGACAATTAGACAGGGGAAAAAAAGCTTCAATCAGATATAAATAACCAAAACTTTCAGAGTAGCTCAGATACTTCTTTCACTTAGAGGTCTTTTTGTGCTCTGACCTCTTTGTTACTATTTAAAGAAATCAGATTCTGCCCTCTTCTGGCTCCAAAAAAATTTACAAAGAATTATAAGAAGAGCTGAAAATATAATTGTATTGATTTTGATTTATCTTTTGTAGCTAACACTTTTATGGAGTGTGCGAATGTTCAACAAATATATGTTTACAGTTAAAAATAAAAAGCCCCAAGGGTTTTAGCCAAGCACTTAAATATTAAACATTCACTAGTTGTAATACAGAGGCAGTTCAATTATATATTTCTCTTTCAGAAAGTTAATGGAACAACATACTTCAAATATGTTTAAAGATTTTATTGTTTTAATAAATATATAGATAGGGAAATTTAATTATTTAAAATTTATGTTCATGGTAAGTATTATCTAGTCAGCCAGTATGTATTCAGAGATGAGTATCTCTGAATATCTCCTTATTCAGAGATAAGACTTCTGTTATAATTTTGATAGCTGGTCTCTGAATTCCCTCTAGGTAAAATGAAATACTTTTTGATATCTGCTTAATATCTTATGAGAATTTACAATATTAGTACTTCAAATATATCTCGGAGATAGGTCAGAGAATTTATATATTTACAAAAAAGTATTTTAATACTTGGTTTTATCAAAAGAGGGATGGAAAAAGTTGAGCTAGATTTAAGTTCACTTTAGGCTGTCGTGACCAAACACTGGTAGAGCAATGAAGAAATGGTTAAAAACAAATAAATAGACTGTCCAAATATGTAAGAAATCAAATCAATTAGCTTTCCAGTTAAATGAATATGGGATCAGAAAGACCCCCCAAAGACAGCTTGGCACTTGACAAGCTGCAGAAACAGTTACTAGGCTCTGTAGTACCAGAGGATAACAATTCTTAGGGGAAGTGACCTAGTTTACCTGTGGACATTCTGGGATATCTCAAAGAGCAGAGTTTTGGTCCTAAATTGTCAAGGAAGTTAAAATTATTGTCACTATAATCCTAAGGCAGTGTTTGTCTTTTTATTTTCACTGTTTCTATGAGTATACACTGGAGTTTTCTAGAGCCAATGTGTGATATCACATGAGCTGAATATAGAACCAGATATTAGAATATGTGTCTTCTATTATCCAGACATTAAAGAAACTACAAAAAGGTCAAACAATGTTATGCCTTGCCATTTTTAGAAAATGGTTATTGTTAATAAAAGTGTTATGTATCTTGTTATATACTGGGTTTATTTAAAATGAATATTTTAAATCATTCTAGTTTTACCTTTTAATACAGTGATAATCAACAGATACAAAGTGCTCTGGAATCCTCAGCAATTTTTAAGTAGATATCCATCATTAGGTAAACATGGTAACTCGTTTAGATGTTGGATATATAAAGTATAAAAAGTCTAAGAAATATTCTAAGGCATTCAAGTAAGTTTTTGAGCAAGCAATTGATTATATAGGCCTTCAGGTAAGGGGTTAGGGCTTGTACTCTTACATTTTCTACATACTAGATGAATTTGTTTTACATGTAAAAATTGAGTCACTCTCCTACTTACAATGCTTTAATGGTATCACATTATTTATTTAAATTTTATGTTTGTTAGTAAAAAGAAATATTGAGGAAAATAAATAATATCCTGGATCTGCACTGAGCACTCTCCAACTATCAACTCAATTCCTTCATCAAACTTACTAATTCCACTTCAAAGATATGGAAATAAATACAGGGCAGTAAGTGAATCTACCCAATGTGACACCATGAGTGGCAGAGCTAAGATCTGAACCAAAATCAGAGTCTCCATGTTGAATCTGTTTGCTTATGCACAATTCTTATCAGACTTGAAACCTAAACTCCTTGCCCATAAAGGTCAACTAGTATGTTTATGTATCACACTCTAAAATTGGCTTTCTTATTTCTTACATCAAGATTCTGGGCTTAGTCTCAGCATAGCGCCTGTGTTTCCCCAACACACTTGCCAAACTCTTTACACCTGTTACTGTCCCTGGACATTCTGTTTGTGAGTGGACCCTAATACAAAAGAGAGGCAGGACCTGACGTCCAACCACAGAAAATAAAATAGCATGGCTACCCCTTCTTCTACACTGAAAGCTTGAGTAGAACTCTGTGATGTAAATGAACACTGCTGCCTAGGACATTAAATCCAGAGAAGAGTGAGACGCAAAAAATATTCGCAGTGGTTACCACAAAACTGACAGTCCAGTGGTGTAATTCTAGAGTCAGAAGATACAGAACTCCATGACATGGCAGTAATGGCACTGTAACTGGGCTGTTGTGACCAAACGCTGGCTGTACCTTGCTTCTCCTGGTTCTTGCCACAGGCTGAAACTGGCTCTTCAGCTTACTTGCCAACTTCGAGAATTCTTTTATTTCCACATGTTTGCTCTTAGTGTAAGCTGTAATTGACATTTTCTAACAAATCTAACTATTAACAATGTCCTGTGCCTTCAATTTTTGGGCAAGTTCTTATTTGCTATTAGAACAATACAGTGAAATACTATTACATTATATGACATGTATTACTTTATCAGTTTATCAGTGGGACTATAATTTAAATTGCCAGGAAATTGACAGGGTACCTTTTCTAAGGTGAGAAGATTTATTTCAGACTGTAGACGGATTTCTGGTTTGTTGCTTTGCTGATCCTTGAACTGCTGGAACTCCTTTTCCAAAGTCTTATATTTACTTTCAGCATCATTAAGCTATATTTAAAAAAATTAAACATTTAAAAACAAATCGTATAGGAAATTTGCTGTTTTAGAACTCAATAGCATTTTTTTTTTTATCTTATTCTAAGGCATGTGCATATAGAAAATTCAGAAAAATGCAATTAAAAAATGGTAGTAATTTTAATAGATTAAAAAAAATTGAGGGTGAAAGAGCTAGTAAGCTAATCAGTAGCAGGGACAAAACCAGAACTCAGATTTTTTCATTTAGAGAAGGTTCTGATGAAAGCAGTCAATACTTCATACATTAAAAAAGGAGGGGTAGCCTGTCTGTAACAAACACTATAATCTCTTTTTGAACAGCTTTTTTTTTTTTTTTAAAAGAGGGCCTACTGATATCCCTTTCAAGTCTAAGGATTTTTAAAAATTAAATTCAAGGGCCAGCCAAAGAGCTCAGTGGACACAGATAGCAATGAAGACTGGGCATGGTGGTGTGCGCCTGTAATCCCAGCTCATGGGAGGCTGTAAACAGGAGGATCACTATGAGCCCAATCTAGTAGTGAGACCTTGAACACCCTGTAGACCCTTCCTTAAAATTTAAGAATAAATAAATTCAAGCTAAAATTATTAGACATTCTTTCCTAAAACACATACTGATATGACTACCATTAGGTAAACCAATTGTTTTTTTCTTAACATTAAAGACTTAACTAAAGTGAAGTACTTAGAAAAACAGCAAAATGGAACTGAAATCATCACTGACCAAAAAAAATTCCTAATCAGGATGTGTCTAGTATCTAAGGAGCTACTCTTACATGAAGTTTCCATACAACTAAAGTTTACCTCTTCTGACATCCAAAGTTAAATAGAAACCACTCTAAAGTGTCCTTTGTGTTTCAAACAAAAAGTATAATGAAAACTATCACATTTGGTAGTTTCAAGTATATTACCATGAACAATTTCTGTTGTAACAATCAGGTTTTAAAGCAGCAAGTGACCAAGGCATGATAGGTTCTTTTTCCTTTGCTAACTAGCCTATACACTGCAATCATTCCGAGGTATTATACCTAGGCTTTTCTCTATTTGAGTAGATACACAGATACTTTATCTTCATCTACTATTGCTGACAATGTTTAATAGTTTATTGGTGTAAATAATTGTATATATAGTACATATGACTTGGAATAATGACCTAAAAAGATTTTTTATACATAAAAAGTTAAATGTTATGGTTTTCATCTAAAATGTCCTCCAAAGTTCCATGTGTTTGGAAGGTGATTGGATTTTGGAAGGGCTAATGAGTTTAGTAGCTGAATGTGCTATTTGGAGAGAGGGCCTGGTTGTAGATGGGCCACCCGACCTAGAAGGGAGTATTCCTGTCTCTAGCTCCTCTTTCTCTCTCTCTGTGCTTTCTGGCAATCATGGTGTAAGCAGCACGCCCATTCTACCATACTTTTCTACCTTGAAGCTGCCCTCCTATGGACGGAATCTTTTGAAACTATGAGCCTAATAAGTTTCTCCAAGTTGTGAGCATTATTTTGTTTCAGGGATGTGAAAGCTGGCTAGCTAATACAGAAATTGGTAACAGAAGTGAGGTTGTTGCTGTGACTACACCTGACCAGAAGCTTTTGGAACTGGTCTGTGGGAAAAATTTGGCAAGGTTTGGGGATATCAGCTAGAGATTTAGGTTGCTGTAAGCCAAGACTGATGGGGAACCTGACTGGAGCTCAGAAAACCAAAATGCTAATAGGAATATGAACAGTAAAGGACATGCATTGGAGAAAACGAAATGTCCTTTGACAGTTGGGCTAGATGTCATATATGTTACACTCTGGCAGAAAATTTGTCTTTGTTTTGGCTATATCCTAAGATTATGGGAGACTGAGATTAAGGGTGTTAGACTAATTGACCTGTGGATAAAATCTTAAAGCAATCCAATGTTTGGGCTGTGGCATGAGTACTGTTGGCTACTTTTAGTTAAGTCTACAGTGAAAATCAGGAGAAAAAAAAAAATCAAGAATTGGATAAATTTGCAGTTTGGCCAGACAGAAAGGACTCACAAAATTGAGGCCATGGAGAACATGGCTGCTGAAAAGATTAGCATTAATAATAAGACAAGTACTTTGCATTGGGACAGTAGGAAAGATGGCTTGAAGTCGTCCTAGGAATCAGCAAGACCCCACACAACAGTCTCAAAGGTGCAAGAAACAAAAGGCTGCCTTGAGAAGAGGCCCAGGGAGTCTAGCTCATTTGGTGCTACCTACAAAAGTGTTCCCTGCAGTTCAGCCACCCAGATACCTAAGAGACCATTGTAGCCATGGTCCCAGGGGCCAGGATCATGCTTCTATGAGGCAGACTTTGGCATTATCCACATGCTGCTGGTTTTTCAGGCATGCAGAACACAGGAGTTGTGGAGTCACAGAGGCTTCCATCAAGATTTCTGAAGAAGGCTTGGGAAGCTAAACAGCATACAGCATGAAGTTGTCAGAGTGAAGCCAAAAGAGAGATGGATCTCTCTCTGCCTCCTGACTGGCACAATGTGAGCAGCTTTCCTCTGCCACGCCCTTTTATCAGGCAGTTTCCACCTTGGAGACTGCCAACCATGAAATGAATCAGCTGAACCCACTAACACTAGGAGCCAAAATAAATTAATCTCTCCTTGTTTAAGTTGTGAGTGTTAGTATGTTACCCCAGTGACAGGAAATCTGATGTGTACAAATGTATAGACATAGACTTAGCAATCTGGGCATCTTTGAAACATCTTGCTTTCCGCTTGGCCTTAGAACACCGGCACCAAGATGAGAGGTGTATCTTGGGTAATTTTTTAAAAATATCAGTTTTTCCTAACAATACTCTTCCTAAAAAAAATGTTAGCTAATTATACCAGTATGAGATAGGGCACAGAAAGGCACTTTATAGGAGTATCTCCGGGATTCTAACACATTAAAAGCCTTTGTTCTAGATGGCTCGAGAAGAATTACCAGTTGGGCACTTTTTTATATTTTAAATGAGAACCCTGCAATAACAATCAAATTTATCTTTAACATCATGTAAATAACCTGACTGTTCCTGATCCTAAATTGCTATGAAAATTGTCCTTCATGATAGAACACACTGAGGACTTCAAAGGCATTCATCATAAATATCTAATCTACACTGAAATTTTTAAAGAAAAATAAGTTTGGGGCCGGGGAGATGGCTCAGTAGAAAAAGTGCTTGCCTGGCAACAGGGTCTGAGTTCAATCCCCAGTTCCACCAAAGAAAAAGAAAAAGTTCAATTTTTTTTTTTTTTTTTTTTTTTTTTTTTTTTATTTGAGAGAGAGAGAGAGAGAGAGAGAGAGAGAGAGTGGTGTGTGTGTGTGGCCAGCTCAGCCCACCAGGGGGCGGGGCTGGCTGGCATGTGGTGCTGGGGGATTGAACCGCGGTCCCTGATGCTTTGCCAAGCTTGTTCTAAGTAGGTGCTTTAGACCACTGAGCCATCTCTCCAGCCCCAAAAGTTCAATTTTTAATAGCTTAGTTTTTTTCCCCTGCAAATATTTATTGAATCTTTACTGTTTGTTGGGCTCCAGGCTTATAGCTATAAATAACAATGGTTTTTATAGAGCGAATAGTGACATTAAATTATTTTGCTAACGAAAACAAAAACTGAGATAGTGTAAAGGAAGAGAGCAATCCTCCACGAGCATATAGAACAAAAACTTGACATGTACTTGTGAGCAGGGGTCAGGAAAGATTTCTTGGGATAAATAATGCTTCAGCTGAGAACTAGAATCAAGAGAGTTCAAAGCGCCCAGAAAAATCAGCACACATGAAGATTGTAGAGGGTAGGTGAGCATGCAAGCTAGAGGTCCTGACGGAAGATCAATGTGGCTGGAGAATGCACAGCAGATATGAAAGAATGGGAGAAAAGGTCAGAGAGACAGGCTGGGTTCAAATTATGGAGAAGCTTGAGGGTAGTAGGACACACTAAAAAGTTTAAAAAGGAGGTTGTCATAATTCTCAAATTTCAAAAGGATTCTGAATACAACATGGGATTAGATGGGCCATTACTGAAATTATAAACACAGAAAGACTGGGTATGGATGAAAAAACCATCCTGGGTTTAAAATGCCCTTAAGACATTCAAACAGAAATGTCCAAAAAGTAAACTTGTTAGGGGGACTAGAGACAAAACAAAGGTCTTAAATGTGAAAGTCCTAGGTATACAGATGGTCTCTAAAGCTAAGGATATGGGTAGAAAATAAATTATGAGCTTACAGAAAAGTTAATATTTAATGGCTAGATAGTAAGGCAAGCCTGTAAAAGAAACTGGAGCGTGGCTATAAAGACTGAAGAAAACAAGGACAGTGATGGCACAGAAGTTGAGAACATAATATTTACAAAACCAAAAACAGTATTGGTGACTCTGTCAATAAGTTTCAGTAAGATAAGAAATGAAAAATGACAACTGACTTTAGTGACTCAGCCATTGGTGGTACCTTTAACAACCGGCTAATTGGGCAATAGAAAGAGAAAGCAGGGTGGGATGGGTTAGGTAGTAGCTACAAGGTGAGGAAATGGAGAGGAGGATGAACCTTCTTTCCACCAGTGTAGTTCTCAGCTGAATTTGGTTCAGTGCTATATAAATATCTACATATGCTAAAGGGAGATTTATCAGAAAACATTTTACATTATATGTCATCTGAAATAATTCATGCAAACAGTGATAAGGGGGAGAAAATCATGCTACCATTCTACCATAGCTTTAACTCAGAATAACAAGATCCAACTTAAAAGTAAATTCGAATCTCAATGCAATATAAATAAATAAATAACCCAAGTTACAGTGAATTTGATCACTTTTTAGCAGTCCTTTGTAGAATACATATAAGCTGTAAAAACAAGATGAGAACCTGCTGCTGAAGTCGGTGTTTATCTTCTTCGAGCTGCCTGGTCTTTAGTCTTTCCAGCTCTGTTTGGTGAATGCAGTCTTCTTTGACTCTACGGATGGAGTCCTGCAGCTCCTTCAGGTTCCGTTCACGTTCTGACTGCAACTCCTTTTTCTCTCTTTGAAGCTTAAATGAAAAATATCTTTTTAAGGATCTGGCCTAATACTAGCTGCATTATATGGTTACATAGTCTCTTATCCTTATTTTCTGTTACATTTTCAGAGTATTTATAAATTTGTTTTCACATTCTTTAGTTATAATTAATGTTTAAGCAACTAATTTTATACTTTCCAACTGTCACTTAGTCCATGAACAATTTATAAATTCAGTTGAAAATACCCTAAATGTCTCATTTAAATAAAGCCCTTTTAATTATAAAAGCAGAAGTGCCTGAGTTTATTTCTTCTATACAGACTTCTGATTCTCCACCTAATCACTTAGCAGATACATTTAGGTTTAAACACCTAAATCATTTAGAAATCCCCAAAACAATAATGATAAGGTTAGGGTGACTTACCAAGAAAATTGTGGTTAGAGAAGAGGCATAGAATTTTAAAATTCCAGTTATTTAAAAATAAACATTATGGAAAATTTTTAGGGTAGCATTCAGTTAAGACACCTTAGAATGTTAAGGAGGCATATAGAATATTAATACAAGGCATCATACTTTCTTATGCTCTCATCTTTGATGGGCAAGAAAAAGAAATCCTCTTCTCTCTGAAAAACTATTAGGACTGCACACCCTATGCAGTGCAACCAACTATTCCCTTCATAGCATGGGAAAGTTAACTAAAAACCTGCACTAGTACGAAGTCAGTCAAAGTTGGCTAAGTGATAACTCTTTTTTTTTATTTTTATTTTTTTGTGGAACTAAGGATTGAACTCAGGCCCGTGTGCTTGCCAGGCAAGCGCTTATTCTACTGCGCTATCTCCCCAGCCTGACAACTCTTTTAAATAACAAACAACTTCCCACCTATCCTTGACATATGAAACAAGCTTTATCTAGCTGAAAAGCAGTTTTCTCTGTAACATCTGAGAAGCAGTTCCATAGAGTACACTATACTAAGTAACGACCAAAATAAGGGAGTGGTATGAGCTCTGTAGATTCCGTGAAATAACAATATGACACATGAATGAGGTACCTCCGATTCTGCGCTGGCAAGCTGCTGCTCCCGCTTCTCTAAATCAATTAGGGTTTTTTGGAGTTTTCCTTCCAGAATACTATATTCAGCCACCTAAAATATAGTAAAAGAGGTATTTTATCTTATATTAAAAACATGCAAATTTAAAATACATATAATTTCACTGGAACAGGATTTGAGACTAGGAAAGGGTCAAATTCACATGTACCAAATTAAAGTAGAATTCAACTACTCTTTTACAAAGACTATTATGCTTCTGCTTGGACAGTTCTTAGTGTACTTAGCCTCTCAAGGAAACCCATTCTCCTACTGGGCAACCAGGATGACAGCAAAATCTTATGCTGCTAAAATCTTATCTTTAAAATCCCTCAGTATCTCTCTGAAACCTCTCAGTCCCTAAAATATTCTCTCATTTTAGGACTAGCCCAATTGCTAGATCAGCTAGGCAGTTGCAGATCAGTCTTTGTTATGGCTTATATGATGTTCCCCCAAAACGCCAGGTGGTCATAGGTAGGGCATTTTATTATTTTTAAATTTATTTATTTTTAAATATATTTAGTTGTCGCAGTGTCTCACTACGCAGCTCAGACTCATGGTGATCCTCCTGCTTTCAGCCTCCCCAGAGCTGGGAGTACAGGCATGTGCCACCCCACCCAGACTCTGGCCAGCTCAGCGCGGCATGTGGTGCTGGGGATCAAACCGAGGTCCCTGTGCTTGCTTAAGCTTCCCTAAGCAGGCATTTTAGTCCTCTGAGCTATCTTGCTGGCCGCCAAGGTGGGGCATTCTAGAGAAGGCTACAGTGTGTGCTGCTGGGATCAAGGGTATGTGATTACTCAATTAGCCCAATGACTAGTTGGCACAGTTCTGAGTGTGGATATTGGAAGGCCCAGCCTCAGGGGTGAGTGCTACTAGCTGTCTGGGCATGCAGCCTGGTTAGAACCTAAGGGTCAGAAAGAGGGCTGTTGTCATTGCTTGCTGCTTCTACTATGTTCTCCTTGCCACTGTTTCTCCTCTGTGATGGTCCTGTTCCATGGGCCACCCTGCGTTGGAATCAGCAAACTACAGACTGAAACCTTTGTAACGGTGAGCCAAATAAACCTTTGCTCCTTCAACTTTGGGTGTCAGGTATGTTGCCTCAGTAATGAAAAGAAGTAACTAAGATAGTTCTCCAATTATTTCAGATCTGTTGTTTTATTATATTCAAGTAACTTGAACTTCTAGTCTCTAATTTCCCTAGGCCTAAAGTTTTTAAGGACAGGAGGCCTATTCCGGATAAGAAGCCTACCTGCTCTCTTGGTTTTCTATCTTTCCATGTAAACTAATAATTTTTCCCCCCAGAGCTTTCTAAACCAACTTTTTTTTTTTTCTTTTGTCTTCACCATCAATCAGTCTGCAAGTCCTGGCCCTCCATCTAGATCTTCTCTTTCATACTGCCCATTGATCCTTGGTTTAGTGCTCCTTAGACACCAACATTTTATTTCTATTTCTACCCTGGGACAGAGAAAACGTATCTTTCCATATTTGAGACTGGGGACCAATGTCAAATTTTTTCCTATTTTTTCTCTAAGACAAACACACATTGCAAAAATGTCTTAAAAAAAATGAACAGTAACCTTAGGAGTGACCATAATAATTTATTTTTTAAAAAATAATTTTATTGGGCTGGAGAGATGGCTCAGTGGTCTAAAGCACCTACTTAGAACAAGCTT